CGCATGCCACGCATGCCACCCATGCCACGCATGCCACGCATGCCACGCATGCCACCCATGCCACGCATGCCACGCATGCCACCCATGCCACGCATGCCACGCATGCCACCCATGCCACCCATGCCACGCATGCCACGCATGCCACCCATGCCACCCATGCCACGCATGCCACGCATGCCACGCATGCCACGCATGCCACCCATGCCACGCATGCCACGCATGCCACCCATGCCACCCATGCCACGCATGCCACGCATGCCACGCATGCCACGCATGCCACGCATGCCACGCATGCCACCCATGCCACGCATGCCACCCATGCCACGCATGCCACGCATGCCACGCATGCCACGCATGCCACGCATGCCACGCATGCCACGCATGCCACCCATGCCACGCATGCCACGCATGCCACGCATGCCACGCATGCCACGCATGCCACCCATGCCACGCATGCCACGCATGCCACGCATGCCACGCATGCCACGCATGCCACGCATGCCACGCATGCCACGCATGCCACGCATGCCACGCATGCCACGCATGCCACGCATGCCACGCATGCCACGCATGCCACGCATGCCACGCATGCCACGCATGCCACGCATGCCACGCATGCCACGCATGCCACGCATGCCACGCATGCCACGCATGCCACGCATGCCACGCATGCCACGCATGCCACGCATGCCACCCATGCCACGCATGCCACCCATGCCACGCATGCCACGCATGCCACGCATGCCACGCATGCCACGCATGCCACGCATGCCACGCATGCCACGCATGCCACGCATGCCACGCATGCCACCCATGCCACGCATGCCACGCATGCCACCCATGCCACGCATGCCACGCATGCCACCCATGCCACGCATGCCACCCATGCCACCCATGCCACGCATGCCACGCATGCCACGCATGCCACGCATGCCACGCATGCCACGCATGCCACGCATGCCACGCATGCCACGCATGCCACCCATGCCACGCATGCCACGCATGCCACGCATGCCACGCATGCCACGCATGCCACGCATGCCACGCATGCCACGCATGCCACGCATGCCACCCATGCCACGCATGCCACCCATGCCACGCATGCCACGCATGCCACGCATGCCACGCATGCCACGCATGCCACGCATGCCACGCATGCCACGCATGCCACGCATGCCACCCATGCCACGCATGCCACGCATGCCACGCATGCCACGCATGCCACCCATGCCACGCATGCCACGCATGCCACGCATGCCACGCATGCCACGCATGCCACGCATGCCACGCATGCCACGCATGCCACGCATGCCACGCATGCCACGCATGCCACGCATGCCACGCATGCCACCCATGCCACCCATGCCACCCATGCCACGCATGCCACGCATGCCACGCATGCCACGCATGCCACGCATGCCACGCATGCCACGCATGCCACGCATGCCACGCATGCCACCCATGCCACGCATGCCACGCATGCCACGCATGCCACGCATGCCACGCATGCCACCCATGCCACGCATGCCACGCATGCCACCCATGCCACGCATGCCACGCATGCCACGCATGCCACGCATGCCACGCATGCCACGCATGCCACGCATGCCACGCATGCCACGCATGCCACCCATGCCACGCATGCCACCCATGCCACGCATGCCACGCATGCCACGCATGCCACCCATGCCACGCATGCCACGCATGCCACCCATGCCACCCATGCCACGCATGCCACGCATGCCACGCATGCCACGCATGCCACCCATGCCACACATGCCACGCATGCCACCCATGCCACCCATGCCACGCATGCCACGCATGCCACGCATGCCACGCATGCCACGCATGCCACGCATGCCACCCATGCCACGCATGCCACCCATGCCACGCATGCCACGCATGCCACGCATGCCACGCATGCCACGCATGCCACGCATGCCACGCATGCCACCCATGCCACCCATGCCACGCATGCCACGCATGCCACGCATGCCACCCATGCCACGCATGCCACGCATGCCACGCATGCCACCCATGCCACGCATGCCACGCATGCCACGCATGCCACGCATGCCACCCATGCCACCCATGCCACCCATGCCACGCATGCCACGCATGCCACCCATGCCACGCATGCCACGCATGCCACCCATGCCACGCATGCCACGCATGCCACGCATGCCACGCATGCCACGCATGCCACGCATGCCACGCATGCCACGCATGCCACCCATGCCACGCATGCCACGCATGCCACCCATGCCACGCATGCCACGCATGCCACGCATGCCACGCATGCCACGCATGCCACGCATGCCACGCATGCCACGCATGCCACCCATGCCACCCATGCCACGCATGCCACGCATGCCACGCATGCCACGCATGCCACCCATGCCACGCATGCCACGCATGCCACCCATGCCACCCATGCCACGCATGCCACGCATGCCACGCATGCCACGCATGCCACGCATGCCACGCATGCCACCCATGCCACGCATGCCACGCATGCCACGCATGCCACGCATGCCACGCATGCCACGCATGCCACGCATGCCACGCATGCCACGCATGCCACGCATGCCACGCATGCCACCCATGCCACGCATGCCACGCATGCCACGCATGCCACGCATGCCACGCATGCCACGCATGCCACGCATGCCACGCATGCCACCCATGCCACGCATGCCACGCATGCCACGCATGCCACGCATGCCACCCATGCCACCCATGCCACGCATGCCACGCATGCCACCATGCCACGCATGCCACGCATGCCACGCATGCCACGCATGCCACGCATGCCACGCATGCCACGCATGCCACGCATGCCACGCATGCCACGCATGCCACGCATGCCACGCATGCCACGCATGCCACGCATGCCACGCATGCCACGCATGCCACGCATGCCACGCATGCCACGCATGCCACGCATGCCACGCATGCCACGCATGCCACGCATGCCACGCATGCCACCCATGCCACCCATGCCACGCATGCCACGCATGCCACCCATGCCACCCATGCCACGCATGCCACGCATGCCACCCATGCCACCATGCCATGCCACGCATGCCACGCATGCCACGCATGCCACGCATGCCACCCATGCCACGCATGCCACGCATGCCACCCATGCCACCCATGCCACGCATGCCACGCATGCCACGCATGCCACGCATGCCACGCATGCCACGCATGCCACCCATGCCACGCATGCCACCCATGCCACGCATGCCACGCATGCCACGCATGCCACGCATGCCACGCATGCCACGCATGCCACCCATGCCACGCATGCCACGCATGCCACGCATGCCACGCATGCCACCCATGCCACGCATGCCACCCATGCCACGCATGCCACGCATGCCACGCATGCCACGCATGCCACGCATGCCACGCATGCCACCCATGCCACGCATGCCACGCATGCCACGCATGCCACGCATGCCACGCATGCCACGCATGCCACGCATGCCACGCATGCCACGCATGCCACGCATGCCACGCATGCCACGCATGCCACGCATGCCACGCATGCCACGCATGCCACGCATGCCACCCATGCCACCCATGCCACGCATGCCACGCATGCCACGCATGCCATGCATGCCACGCATGCCACGCATGCCACGCATGCCACCCATGCCACGCATGCCACGCATGCCACGCATGCCACGCATGCCACGCATGCCACCCATGCCACGCATGCCACGCATGCCACCCATGCCACCCATGCCACGCATGCCACGCATGCCACGCATGCCACGCATGCCACGCATGCCACGCATGCCACCCATGCCACGCATGCCACCCATGCCACGCATGCCACGCATGCCACGCATGCCACGCATGCCACGCATGCCACGCATGCCACGCATGCCACCCATGCCACGCATGCCACCCATGCCACGCATGCCACGCATGCCACGCATGCCACGCATGCCACGCATGCCACGCATGCCACGCATGCCACGCATGCCACCCATGCCACGCATGCCACGCATGCCACGCATGCCACGCATGCCACCCATGCCACGCATGCCACGCATGCCACGCATGCCACGCATGCCACGCATGCCACGCATGCCACGCATGCCACGCATGCCACGCATGCCACGCATGCCACGCATGCCACGCATGCCACGCATGCCACGCATGCCACGCATGCCACCCATGCCACCCATGCCACCCATGCCACGCATGCCACGCATGCCACGCATGCCACGCATGCCACGCATGCCACGCATGCCACGCATGCCACGCATGCCACGCATGCCACGCATGCCACGCATGCCACGCATGCCACGCATGCCACCCATGCCACGCATGCCACGCATGCCACGCATGCCACGCATGCCACGCATGCCACGCATGCCACGCATGCCACGCATGCCACGCATGCCACGCATGCCACGCATGCCACGCATGCCACGCATGCCACCCATGCCACCCATGCCACCCATGCCACGCATGCCACGCATGCCACGCATGCCACGCATGCCACGCATGCCACGCATGCCACGCATGCCACGCATGCCACGCATGCCACCCATGCCACGCATGCCACGCATGCCACCCATGCCACGCATGCCACGCATGCCACGCATGCCACGCATGCCACGCATGCCACCCATGCCACGCATGCCACCCATGCCACGCATGCCACGCATGCCACGCATGCCACGCATGCCACGCATGCCACGCATGCCACGCATGCCACGCATGCCACGCATGCCACGCATGCCACGCATGCCACGCATGCCACGCATGCCACGCATGCCACGCATGCCACGCATGCCACGCATGCCACGCATGCCACGCATGCCACGCATGCCACGCATGCCACGCATGCCACGCATGCCACCCATGCCACGCATGCCACCCATGCCACGCATGCCACGCATGCCACGCATGCCACCCATGCCACGCATGCCACCCATGCCACGCATGCCACCCATGCCACCCATGTCTCATCCCGTCCCATGCGCGCCTGCTTGCGTGCACACGGCAGTGAGCGCGATGCGGTGGCAGCGCTGCAGGGCAGCGAGTGGGAGGTGGCGCCAGCACTGGCGCGCTACCAGGCGGGGGGGGCGCCCATGGCCGCGCGGGGCGGAGGGGGCTTCCTGGCAGCCTTCACGGGGCGCTCGCACTTCCACCACCAGCAGCAAGGGGGGCATGCCATGCCGCCCCAGCAGCCACCAGTGGATCCCATACAAGAGCTCTTCCTGCGCTACAAAGGTGCGTGCCGCTGACATATTTAAATCAAAACTGCTGTTTATGCCGTGCCGGTATTGCAATGCAAGCTAAAACCTGGTTAGTGTGCTGCTGGTGCCCTGTCCCACTCGCCCTGCTCCGTGTGCTGCATCAGATCCGGATTCAGATATGATTCTCGTGGACGGCATCTCGCGCATGTGTGAAGACCTCGAGGTGCGCTCATGCTGCACGTGCCTGCTCCTATGCTGCACGTGCCTGCTCCTATGCTGCACGTGCCTGCTCCTATGCTGCACGTGCCTGCTCCTATGCTGCACGTGCCTGCTCCTATGCTGCACGTGCCTGCTCCTATGCTGCACGTGCCTGCTCCTATGCTGCACATGCCTGCTCCTATGCTGCACGTGCCTGCTCCTCAACCTTCCTGCTCGCTCCCACCCCACGCTCCCTGCTTCTCTTTCCCAACCGGCACCATTGCCATTGACAATATTATCTCCATCGCCTGAGTCTCCCATGTTCCATCGTGGCCACGTGCTCTACTCTCCTCCGTACTCTTCCACTCACAATCCCTTTTCTCCCTCTGTGCCATGCCATGTTGTTCCCGCCCGAATACCATGGTACCCCGTTGAACGTGCCATGTGGGCGGCACCAGGTGGAGCCACAGGACATTGTTATGGTGAGCGCGCATGCCCTGCTCTCTCTCCTGCACCTCTACTGCCTTTTTTTACCATGCGATTGATGCCGCACTCTTGGCTGCTATTTCTTGTCCACGTGCATGCACTGCATCCCTGCTGTAAGCCCCATACGTGTTCCCTTCCCCCCATGTGTCCCATGCCCCACAGCTGGTGCTGTCATGGCATCTGGGTGCGGCCACCATGTGCGAGTACTCGCGCCAAGAGTTCACCTCCGGCCTGCGCTCCCTGCGGTCAGCCCCTTGCCTTCTCACATGCATGCACCACACAAAATCCCCCTTCCCATGCTGCCACTGACCGACCAACGCTTGTCTTGTGCTCTGTTGCAATGTTGCTGCAGTTCAGGTTGTCTACTCTTGGGTCTCACAAGCCCCTCGCCTTTCTCAACCCCGCACATCCTCTCCTTTTTCTTTGCCCATTACCCCACCTCCCCTTATCCACACCCCCGCCTCCCATGGTGGCAGGGTGACGTCACTGGAGGCGCTGAAGGCGCTGCTGCCATCATTCCGGCGCGAGCTGCAAGACGAGAGTGAGCAGCCATGGGAGGGAGGGGAGATGGGAAGGAGGGGGGAGATGAGTGTGAGGGGCAGTTAAGAGGGTGGGTGGGGAGGTGGGCGGGGTGTGGGGCAAAGATCGTGAGTGCAAGCATGGCACGACCTATAGGTTGCACTTGTGTTTTCTGCATCGCTTCTTTTCGTTCACATCTATTTTCTGGCCCTTCCTGCCCTATCAGTTCCGCTCTCACCCCACCCAACGACATCATCACATTCCTATCCTTTCATTCTTTGCTCCTCTCGCCCCCCTCTTGCCTGTGGTGGCCTGTGTCTCACACAGACGTGTTTCGCCAAATATACAACTTTGCGTTCGCGTGGGCCAAGGAGAAGGTAGGCGTGCGAGAGAGAGAATAAAGGAGGGCAGTGCGGACTGGTGGCAGCAGAGGGGTTGGGTGTGGTGCAGAGGAGAGGTGGCATGCGACTCTGAGTGAGAGGAGGTGGGCTGCGGAATGACCATTGTAATGTCACTGCTCCACACAGCACTGTCAGTGCCCTGCAAGGTGCTCCAACCCACCCACGCTGTCCTCCTGTCGCCGCCATCGCTTTGCCCTCCCTCCCCACAGGGCCAGAAGTGGCTGGCGCTGGACACGGCCATCGGCATGTGGCAGCTGCTGCTGGGCTACCGCAGCTGGCCGCACGTCGACCACTGGTGTGACTTCGTCAGGGTGAGCCACACGCGGGCGCTGGACTGAGGTGGTGAGGGGGAAAAAGTTGGTGGAGTGGTATGGTATGGTGAAGGTGGGACAGTAGTGAGGGTGAGTGGAGCCGGTCTGAAAACACAGTGGTTGCTGAGGAACCCTCAAGATGCCTCTGGGAACCTGCTTCACCCTTCCCTGCTTTCATATCCCCGTGTGTTATGTGGTTGTTACATCTGAACCTCACTGCCGTGGTGTGTGGCACTACATGTGCTACATGGCTGCATGCATGGCGTGGTTGGATGTGCTACATGGCTGCACGCATTGCATGGCGTGTGTGGGTGGGAGCAGGTGCAGCACAACAAGGCCATATCCAAGGACACCTGGTCGCAGCTCTTTGACTTCTCCCGGGTATGTTGCTCCTGCTCCTGCCCCGCCTATTCTGCACCCGCCCTATCCTGCCCTTCCTACTCTGCACCTGGCGGCACCTGCCTTTCCTGCCCCTGCACCCATGCGGGTTGGTTGGGGGGACTGCCCCCCTTGCCATGGAAGCACCATCTCCACCATCATGTGCCCCTGCCACTACATGCGCCCTGCTCAAGCAATCCATCCCCCACCCCCCTCCCTCTCTTCTTCTCCCCCTCGCATGGGGGCTCTCAGTTGACGCAGGGGCAGTTGGAGCAGTACGACGAGGGCGGCGCCTGGCCGTACCTCATAGACGAGTTCGTGGACCACCTCCGTGCTGCTGGCTCCCTGCCGCCCAACTGATGCTCGCAATCTGCCCCCATCTTAGGCACCCACCGTCACACTCGCCTGATACCCAACTTCCTATGCACCTCGTGTTGATGCCCCACCACCCTCGAGCGCAGAGATCTCTTTATAAGCTAAAAAAGGACACAACAACAACAATGGATAGGTACTGTACAGTTTCTCAATATAAATTCCATGCATGAACCACCACAATGTCGAAATACGGTAATGATTCTAAACAGCCCTCAAAAGACAATATTGATTCTGTATGTTTCTGGCAGCCCATCAGTTGGGCCTGTTGTTATGCCAATGTTAGTGAAGGGGCGGCCGAGTGGGCACATCACTTGGCTCAAGAGAAATGTTTTTATGGGATCAGCAGCGGCTCTCCAGCGTAGTAAAGAAAGAGTGCAGAGGGCGGCATGCTCGCGTGTCACCACTGGTGTTGGCGGAACAGCGGAGACTCCCCTTTGGGCGGCGGTCGGGCGGCGGGCGACTCGCCGCGGGCGGGCTGCAGGAGCGCGTCGACGAGGAAGTGGTCGGCGTGGATGGCGGCCTTGAACTCGTCGAAACTGAGCCGCCCGTCACAGTTGGCGTCCATGCGGTCAAAGAACTCGTCCAGTATGCCCGGCTCTAGGATGTCCGGGGGTAGATAGTCCTCCGGTAGCGCCTGCCATGCCATGCCATGCCATGCCATGCCATGCCAGCCAAGCACGTGTGCAGCAGAGAGCAGAGCATGGGTTGGGCAGAGCATGAGTTCAGCAATCCAGTGATGAGTGAGTGAGGGGTGATGAGACATGGCAATGTAACCAACACACCTGTTTGTCTCAATGGCTGTAACTCAGGTTTCTGCCAGTGGTGCGTTGGTACAAAATAGTGCAGGTACACTGCTGGGTGGAGAGCGCTTCTGAACAAGCTCAGTTGCATCTATTGAAAACCATTCCCATTCAGACACAAGCATGGCAGCGAGCTCACCTTGAGCATAGCAGCAAGCTCGTCCTTTGAAATGTATCCTGAGTCATCCGCATCGTACATCTGCATGCCGTGGAGAAAGATGAGTGGCACAGGGGAAATGGATGGAGGCAAGGCAGTGTGAGTCTCTCAGCAGAGCGGCCCTCTCAATGCATGCACCACTGACCATCCCTTCACAATTTGCTTCAAAGGGTGTTTCTTGTGGAGCCCAGGTCGCGGGGCACACTGGGTGGGTATGAGCAGTGTGAAAGGCAGCCCTCAGCTTCCAATGCCGCGTGCACTGCAATCCCCCTCCAACCCCCCTCCCCCAAACCCCCCACTCTTTTCTTCCCTCTTTTTTAACATCAATCCCAATGTGGCTCGCAAAAACTAGGACATCTAGAACGAAGGTGCCTAAAAAAAAGCCCACCTTGAAGCAGAGGCGCACCTTGAAGCAGAGGCGCACCTTGAAGCAAAGGCGCACCTTGAAGCAGAGGCGCACCTTGAAGCAGAGGCGCACCTTGAAGCAGAGGCGCACCTTGAAGCAGAGGCGCACCTTGAAGCAGAGGCGCACCTTGAAGCAGAGGCGCACCTTGAAGCAGAGGCACACCTTGAAGCAGAGGCGCACCTTGAAGCAGAGGTGCACCTTGAAGCAGAGGCGCACCTTGAAGCAGAGGCGCACCTTGAAGCAGAGGCGCACCTTGAAGCAGAGGCGCACCTTGAAGCAGAGGCGCACCTTGAAGCAGAGGCGCACCTTGAAGCAGAGGCGCACCTTGAAGCAGAGGCGCACCTTGAAGCAGAGGCGCACCTTGAAGCAGAGGCGCACCTTGAAGCAGAGGCGCACCTTGAAGCAGAGGCGCACCTTGAAGCAGAGGCGCACCTTGAAGCAGAGGCGCACCTTGAAGCAGAGGCGCACCTTGAAGCAGAGGCGCACCTTGAAGCAGAGGCGCACCTTGAAGCAGAGGCGCAGGGCGTCGTCGCCTTGGGACTTGCGGAAGGCAGCGAGGCCACAGACGATCTCCCGCATGTCGACGGAGCCGTTCTTGTCGCTGTCAAACACCTCAAACACGCGCCGCGCCATCGGCACCAGGCTGCCCATGCCCATGGCCCTCAGCACGTCCTCAAACTCCGCCACTGTCACACTCGTGCCACTCGACGATCTGAGCAGCATGCAGGGAGGGAAAGGGGAAAAGGGGGCAATGGGTGGGTTCAATGGGGAAAACAGGCGGTGCAGGTCAGTGAATGGCACCAGAGATTGGTGAAGGTAAGAAGCTGGTGCAAGATTTGTAATGAGTTTCTTGCGTGTACGCATGCGTGCGCACGCGTGTGCGTGTGCGTGCATGCATGTGTGCAGCTCACATTCTCTTGAAGTGCGTGTGCAGGTCCTTGAGCTCCGTCTCATTGAGTGTGTCGAATCCACCCAGTATGTTCCGCAGCGCCCGTGTGCGCAGCATGAGCTTGTTGCTCACGATGCTCGCATACGCCGCCGCTCGGAACTTGCGGCGTGCGTTGAAGGTGAGCAGGCGCCGGCACACCTCTGGCTCCATCGGCTCCTGCCTCGCTGCGTCGCCCTTCACCCACGGGTGCAGCAGCAGCTGCCACGGGCGCGCACAGGGGGCAGGGCGTGGCCCAGAGGGGAGGGTGCCCAGGAGGGAAGGGAGAGGTCAGTAATGCGAGTGTGGTATGGGGCACATGAACAGAGGATATGAGGCAGGGGTGGATGGGTAGCAAAGGAGAGGCTTGTTTCGGGGAGGGGCTTGCTTGGAGGAGAAGCTTACCTCAGCAGCGGTGGGTCGCTTGGAGGGGTCGACGGTGAGCAGGCTGGTGACGAGCTGCTTGGCGGACTGCGATATGCTCCTCCATGTCGCCTCCTCAAAGTCAAAACTCGCCTGCCACCCACACACACACCACGCACACACCACACCATGCCACGTCACGCCACCTCGTTTGCAGAACCCCTCAGGATAGCAGTGGCATAGGGGCATAATGACTTGTTGCAGCAGGAAGGGAAGGATTAGGCATGAGAGGCGCAGGGAGGAGGAGGGGGGACTGACGTTGAGAATGAGTTGCTGCTTGGCACGGTTGTTGAGCGCGTGGAAGGGCGGGTACCTGCATGCACAGCCATGCACGCACCACACACCACACATGGGGCATCAGGTACCGGGCTTGAGGCATTTAGAATGAATCTCTGCACCTCGCCCACTCACAGCTGAGGTCACAATGAACGGCACCAGCATCATTTGCACACCGGTACATCATCATCATCACCGGTACATCATCATCATCACCGGTACATCATCATCATCACCGGTACATCATCATCATCACCGGTACATCATCATCATCACCGGTACATCATCATCATCACCGGTACATCCCAGCCCGTCCCACATAATTTGCACCCCTTCTGCCAAGGCATCCGCCTCCCGAGCATGCGCCCTCCCCTACCCTTACCTCCCCGCACACCGCCCCTGCGCCCGCGCCTGCACCTGTCCCTGCCCTTGCCGCCGCTCTTCCCCCTCCCTTGCCCCTGCGCCTGCCCCTGCCCTTGTCCCTGCCTCTGCCCCCCCCCTTATCCCTGCCCCTGCCCCTGCCCCTGTCCCTGCCCCTGCCCCTGCCCCTGCCCCTGCCCCTGCCCTTGCGCCTTGGCCTGCCCTGCGCCTGCACCTGCGCCTGCTCCTGCGCCTTCTCCTGCGCCTGCCCAAGCACCTGCCCCTGCTCCTGCGCCTGCGCCTGCGCTTGCCCTGGCATCCCCTCCCCCCTCCCCCCCTCCCCCCTCCCCCCTCCCCCCTCCCCCCACCCTGTATCCCTCTTCCCCCCTTCCCCCCCTCAGCGCGCGCACCCGCAGAGCAGGATGTAGAGGATGACGCCCAGCGACCACATGTCCCCGGCGGCGCGCGACTCGCGGCGGGAGAGCGCTTCGGGCGAGACGTAGTCGATGGAGCCGAAGAGGCCCACGAGCGGGCTCGTCTCGCCCTCGATGGAGCTCAGCCCGAAGTCCATGATCTTCAGCGGCGCGTCGGGCGCCGCCGTCAGGAACAGGCAGTTCTCGGGCTTGAGGTCGCGGTGCGCGATGCGCGCGGCGTGCAGGCTGCGCAGCCCGTTGGCGATCTGGCGGATGACGAGCGCGGCGCCCGCCTCGGAGTAGCGCTCCTGCTGCACGATGCGGTCGAAGAGCTCCCCGCCGGAGCAGAGCTCGAGCACGAGGTGGATGCAGTGCGCGTCCTCGAACACGTCGACGAGGTGGATGACGTTGGGGTGCGGCGACACCTCGTCCACGATGCGGTTCATCACCATGATCTCGTTCTCCACCAGCGCGTTCGACACGCTCGGCCCGCCGTGCTTCTTCAGCGTCTTCACCGCCACCGCCGTGCCGTCCTCCTTCGACTCGGCGCGCTGCACCACGGAGAACCCGCCCGTGCCCAGCACCTCGTGCAGCGTGTAAAAGTCCTCCAGCCGCCGGCTCTCCTCCTCCTCCACGTCGCCCATTCGCGCCGCCCGATGGGCCCACACAAGGGATAATGGAATGAGACCGCCGCCCAGGCGCTCCGGCGAATGGAGCGAACGCAGAAAATGAATGGAAGAGTTCGGACAGGGACGGCGGGGTAAGAGGCTGGCGGACTGTGGGAACCGAGGTTGGCCAAGAGAAGGTAGAATCTGCAGCGTAACTAACGACACTATGCTGGTTCTAGATGCAACCGGCGATTGCGGTCACAAAGATTTGGGGGTCCTCCCAGATTGTTCCCCCAACAGTGCCCAAACTAGGGCCTGGTAAGTTAGTGGTTTGACTTCACAGCTCAAGACAGGTGAATGGCGACGGAGACGAAGTGAACTGATTTCGTCAGCCACCTCAACCACGTCCCCCTCCCAAGTTTGCGAATTGTAACCCGGACGACGATGTCCCCGAGAACTGACTCCGTAACTTGCTGGGAAGAAACCGAGGTGGGGTCAAGGCAGGCGCAACCTGCTGGTAACTGCTCGACGAAAACATTCTGCGAAACGAACACAGCAATCAGCAGCACTTCCCCCCATCTCCAGCACCTGGCACTATGCCTGTCGAAGTCCCTAGG